GACATTTCATCACTCCAAAACAGAACCTTGATCCCATCAGCAGGTACGCCCTGTTCCCCTCTAACCAGAACCCTTGCAACCACTAATCTGCTTTGTGTTTCTACAGATTTACCTGTTCTGGACACTTCATATAAATGGAATCATACAGTATATGACCTTTTGTGTCTGACTCTTTCACTTAATATCAGTTTTTGAGGGTCAATCATGTTGTAGCATGTCTCATTACTTCATTCTTTTTTATAACTGAATGATATTGTATTGTATGGACAGACAATAATTTCTCTGTTCATCCACTGATGAATATTTGGGTTGGTGCTACTTTCAGCTATTGTAAATAGTGCTGTTAGAAACATAGGCATAAACTATTTGTTTGAATACCTGTTTCCAATTCTTTCGGGTATATGCTAGGAATGGAATCACTGAGTCACGTGCTGATTCTTTTGAGGAACTGACAAGCTGATTTCCACAGCAACTGTACCATTTTACACTCCCAGAACAATGCACAAGGGCTCCAACTTCGCCACATCTTCACCACACTTAACACTCTCCCATTTTCTTCTACAGCCATCCTGGTGGGTATGAAGTGGTACCTCACTGTGGTTTCAATTTGCACTTCCCTAATGACTAACGATATTAACCATTTTTCATGTGCTTGTTTGGTCATTTGTAAGGTCTGGGACTTCTGACACACCCTTTACCAAACTATCTACCAATCTGAATAATCACAAATCTTCTAAAATGGGTGGGCATGAAATCTTTCCGTTGTTTCTGAGATAAGTGTTAAGTCAAATAAAGAAGTTCCATACTCTGGAACATCTAAGAAAGTCACAGAATAAAGAGAAATGATGAAAGGACTGATGAAATGATTCACAAGGAGAGCAAGGCCTGGTCTATCCAACTCTATGTCCTAGATTCCTACCCCAATGCCCCAGAAGCCCCAGCATCAGAGTATGAGCACAGCAAGTGGCAGAATTAGACTGGGGGGCTGGGGGGAGACACAGGAGGACTGAAGCACTGGGAAAGATCAAGACTAACCTCCTTTTTCTCCTGGAGAGAGACAACCCAGCCAAGGTCCCACCAACAAAACAGTGCTAGACCAGGGACTAGAACTGAAGTTTGGTGATTTCTTTCACAAAAAGCCATGCTTAATGGTGCACAAGTCAGTTGGAGAGGCAGACATCCAGCCAATACCCACTAGGAACCCAGGCTGGGATGAGCACCTGGAAGCCAAGACCCCTCAGTTCCAGATCTGCTGCTCCCACTGACCAACAAGCCGTCCCCCTCTCGTTTCACTCTACACAACCTCGTGAGTAACTCCATTCACTCCTATAACATCAGAATTCCCACCGAGCCCCAACCCCTCCTCCAGCTCTAACCAACTACCTGAGTGGGTGATTCCGCCTAAGGATCAAATTGGACCTCCACCTCCTTGAAGTCAAATTTACCTCTTCTTTTACTCGGGAATTCCCTACTCCCCCAAATCTACTCCAAATCTGCTATTCTCAACTGCCGTTAAAGGTACTTTTACCCAATCAGGTTTCCTCAATTCCCACCTCTGATCGACTGCCAATGTCTTGTTCCCAGTGTCAGCACTGACCTGGAGAAGACCTTTACAGACATTTACCTGGACTTCTTCAAGAGCATCTATTAGAGCTTCTGCCTTTAGCCAGAATTATCATCTTCCTACAACACAAACCCAATGGGTTAAAAAGCTAAGCATAGGTAATTCTCTGGAGGTCCAGTGATTAGGACACTATGCTCCTTTCACTCCCAAGGGCCCAGGTTCGATCCCCCGTCAGAGAACTAAGATCCCTCAAGCCACACAGTGTGGCCAAAAAGAAAACCAGAAACAAAGTTAAGCATAAAAATAATATTTTCTTACTTACAATAAAGAAAATATTAGAGGCTATTTTATAATGCTGGAAATAAAACTTTTATAAGCATGAGATTAAAACTACAAACTAAAAACATGGAAACTTAACTGCATTCATATTTAAAACTACCATATAAAGGCTTCCCAGGTAGCTCAGAAGGTAAAAAATCTGCCCACAGTGTGGAAGACCCCAGTTCAATCCCTGTTCGGGAAGATCCCCTGGAGAAAGATACAGCAACCCATTCCAGTATTCAGGCCTGGAGAGTTCCATGGACAGAGGAGCCTGGCAGGCTACATACACTCCATGGGGTCACAGAGTTGGACATGACTGAGCGACTAACACATGTGTAAGGAGAGAAAAGACCAAACATTCACTTAAACACGGTATATAACAGGTGCTAAGCCTGCGTGCTGTAGAAGCCCGCACGCCACAAGACGACCCAGGGTACCAAATTAATATCTAGAGTGGGAGTCAGCAAACCATGGCTCCAGGCCAATCCTCTCAACTGCCTGTTTTTTGTAAATACAGTTTTACTGGAAACAGCCATACACCATAGTTTACATCTTGTCTACAGCAGCTTCACACAGCGGCTTTTGTGGTACAGTGGCAAAGCTCCATAGTAGCCACAAAGGTCTATGGCCCACAAGGCTGAAACATTTACTATCATCTGACCTTTTACAGAAAGTTTGTGGACTCCTGACCTAGAATATATACAGAAAACTCCTACAACTCAATGGGATGAGGGGTTGGGGGGACTAACCTGATAGAAAAATGAGGAAATAATATGAAAATCCACAAAAGAAACAAAATATATCCAACAATTATTATTAAAAGAGGCTTAACCTCACTGGTAACTTGGGAAGTTATTATAGAACTAAACATTTGATAATACCCAGTCATGGCAATGATAAGATATAGTCTTTTCCAGAAGACAATTTGATGATTATCTGTAAAAAAAAAAAAAAAAATATATATATATATATATATGTCTCTCTAATGTACTTTATATCAATTCACTCATCCTATTTTTACAGATCTGCCCCCAGAGAAATACTTGCACTTGTGCGTGTGTAAGTGCGCACACACATACCCAAAAGCAGTTAGAAAGCTGTTCATTGAAACATTCACTATCTATAACAAAACCAGTAAAGAACCTCGCTTCCCAGCAATAAGGTAATGGTTAAACTATGGTACATCCCTGACGATACAAAATGCAAAACAAGTTTGGTATACTGATATGTATGACCATGAAAATGGCTACAAGACATCACGGCAAGGGGAAAAAAAATTATGTGGCAGAGCAAAAATGCACACAGTTTAGGTTAAAAAAGATTTTTTTCACTGTACTTGAGTTCGTATGTATGCAGAGAAATGCACAGGAGAACAACTAAAATATAAACGCCTTAAAGAGGAGGTAGCCTTGATGATCCCTGATCTATCTTCCAGCCTTGACGGTCTAAAATAAGCTCGGGCCGGAGGGGCAACAGGAAGCAAGGACTTGGGGAAGACTGATGGGAACCGATTGGCTGAGGTTTCCTAATGGAGCCATGAGGATGAGGCGGGGGGTGGAGGGCCGGATGCAGGGAGCAGCAGCTAAGGCTGTTGGCAACAGCCCTGAGTCTCCCTCCTCTTTTCAAGAGCAGTTTCTTCCTGAAAGATCCCAGGAGGTAGAAGCCTGGCGTAATCCCTCCAGGCACAAATAACCCAATCATTTCAGAAACTACCATTCCACTTGTGCCCGGGAGGGCCCAGGCCTATTTCAAAACCTACAGTTCAACTGTGAATACACTCCAAGAATAAGGTACTTTTAAATTTGCAACATCCACCCACGAATCCAATTAATAATCAGCATTTTTTAAACAGATACATTTCAAACATGCAGATTTCATTACAGTTCAACTATGCTTAAGAATCAGAAAACAAGCCCTTTGGGGTGTAAACACCCAATTTAAGCAGCTGCCTGGAATAACTAGAAAACTCTCAGAATAACCCTTGCCAAGACCAGAAACTTTCTAAATTCAAGTTCACTATTCTGCATGTGATTTTTTTCTTTTGCAGATGATTTTTTTTTTTAATTGTAAAAGGAAAGTTTACTAAGATATCACGCCTCGCTTTTCGTAACAGCCTGGTGAGGGAAGAGAGCCAGGGATTCCTACTCCCAATTTATGAAGAAGGAAATGAAACTATACCGAGCAAACAGATTTGTTCAAGGTCACGCAGTTGCCAGTGACAGCAAGCCTACAAGCTCGGTCTCCTGAGTCCTGGTCCAGGACCCTCATCGCCACAGTAACTGCTTCCCCGGGCGAGGACTCCGGTGGAGAGGAGGGCATATCCCTTAGAAGCCCACCCACCACCGGGACCACCACCAGGAAACGGGCCCTGAGGTCCTGACGCTCTGACTCCGCGGCACCGGGTGTGGGGTCTCGGTACCGGGAGTCTTTTGCTGGCCGCTGGGAACGGCGGCGGGTCCCGTGCCGTCATCCCTGCCAGGCCACCCACTCCGCAGCAAGAGAAACGGCCCGCCCCGGCCACTCGAAAGCAGCAAGCCGGTGGAAGCAGCGGCCGCGACGAGGTCAGCTCCCAGCCCCGCGCAGGGGGACCAGGGAGACCTCGAGGAGACCGGGGCCGGGGAGAGGCCGCGTGGGGGCAGGACGGCCTGGGAAGCGGGAGTGCTCGCGCCGGGCCGCAGAGCCCAGCTCCGGAGGGGCCGGCCGCCCCAGCAACCCCGCCCGGGCACGCGGGACGGCCCGGCGCCGCGCTGTGGGCGGGTTTCCGCCGCCGAAGCCTGCGAAGCCCCCCGGGGACGAGAGACGCGGCCGGGAGCGACGACTCTGGGCGCGGGGAGGCCGCGAGCCCCTCCTGCCGGCGGCCCGGGGTCGCGCCCGGAGCGAGACCCGGACCCAGGCCGCCCCCGCCCGGAGCCACCGGCGAGAGATTGGGGCGGGGGGGGGGGGGGGGGGGCGGGGGCCGCAGAGCCGGACGGGCGCAAGCGGCCCCGCGCTTTGTTCCCGCGCTCGGCCGGGCGCCCTGAGCCGCCGAAACGCATGAGTCACCCGGCGGCAAGCGGAGGGCGCCGCTTGTCCCACGGGCGCCGCTTTGTCCGCCCCTCCCGCGCCGCCCGCTCACCTGCGTCAGGTCCTCGTCGTTGAGCAGATGCGACTCGCGGGGCTTGAAGCAGTTCTGACACTTGCTCTTGTTGAAGATGTTGGCCTGGAATTTCCTGCACGGGTTCTCCTTGGCCGCCGACATGGCCGGGCGCGGGCTCAGGCCGGGCGCCGCCGCATCCCCGGCCGCCGCCTCCAGCCGCGCACGCAGGCCAGAGCCTCAGAGAGCGCGCGGCCCTCGCCGCCCGCCCGCGCCGCCGCCGCCGCCGCCCGCCGGCCCCGGGCCCATGGACGCGGCCTCGCGCGCCCGCTCCCGCTCCCACCGCCCCGCCGGTCCCCGCGCTCGGTGCCCGCGCAGCCCTCGGCGCCCGCGGCAGTAGCGAAGGGAAGCGGAGCGCCGGGCGCACTCCGGGGCGGCGGGCGCGCGCGAGGAGGCGACGGGCCAGCGCGCGGGGCGGGGCAGCGCGCGGGGCGGGCCCGCGTCCTGGCGCGATCGGCGCCTCGTTGGACCAATGGCAGCTCCACCTCCCGGCTAACAAAGAAACCCTCTAGCCAATGGGAGTCGGGGGCGGGACAGAAGGCGGCCTGGCGCAAGGTAACTTGTGTAGGCGGAGGAAGGCGGGGAGTGGTGGGGCGTTCAGGCTTGGTGGACGGGCGCGCGGCCGCCGGGCCTGACAGCTGCGGGGGCGGGGCCTGCCGGCGGGGCGGGGTCTGTGGGAGGGGCGAGGAGGAGCGGGGCCTACCGGCCGGCTCCGCAAACAGCTCTTGCAACCTCGCCGTCGCGCGCCCACGCGGAGAGGATTAGTTTGACACCCACTGAGCGCGGGCCCCGCGTGGCGGTCAGTAAGGATCCCTACAGTTCCAAGTACTTGATATGCGCGAGAGTCACAGCCTCCCCACCCACATTTTACGTGGGCGGACACTAAGGAGCGGAGAAGTTAAGGAGAGGGAGGTAGGGTTTCGAGGGGTGACTAAGAGGCGTCAGCCTGGAAGAGCTGTCAGTTCTATTGCGGGAGATTAGTGAGCGCTGACGCGATGCCAGCTACTGAGCCAGGCATTCCTGCCCCCATGACGTGCTGGAGGAAATTAAGGCTCCGAAGCCCGAAGTCACTGGAGGAGGGAGGGGTCGCTGCGCTAGGCGGGACAACCCTCACTCCAGTCGTCCACTCTCCTGCCTCCTAACCAAAAGACCACTTGGCGAAGACTGTAAAGGGGGCGCAGGCAGAAGGCTCAGCAGCCCAGAGAGGGGGCTCCTCGGGGAGATCAGGGGTGGCTTTAGGGAGGAGGGGAAATCCAAGCAGAAGGTGAGAGGTTGGGAGAGGCTGGGGTAAGGGAGTAAGGAGCCGGAAGGGATGGGGCTGGCAGCCTGGACCTCGGGTTTCAAGCTCCGACGGGTAAAGGTCATCCTGCTGGCAGTCAGGAGTTCATCACCGGAGTTTTCAAACAGGGGGGTGAGCCAACTCGCCTCACAGAGGAGGTGACACCGAAGCATGTGTTAGTGGTGGGGACAGCAGCTGTTGCTTAGGGAATGGAAGGTTTTAGAAGCAGCAGATGCTTCCAGGGCTGTGTACTTTTCCACTGAGCATCCGGTGAACATCGCAGGGAGGTGGATTTCAAGTCAGTGTAAGACAATACTTCCCTCCAAAGGGAGCTGAAAAAGGTGGATCCACGTCCTGTGGCCACCTGAGGGGAAAGGCCAGCTCTTGACCTTGGGCAAGTTCCTTCACCTGCCGGCTACCTCAGTCACCTCATCTACAAAACTGGCATGATTGTGTGCTTGTTGTGAGCATTACATGACACAATCCTTATAAAATATTTTGCATAATGTGTCAAAATGTTAATTGGTAAATTGAGGCAAAGGGTGTTTATTGTCCTATCCTTGTAATGTTTCTGTTGGTTTACATTTTTGCAAAATAAAAAGATGTGTGTGTGGCAGGGTACAGAGAGAATTGCACAGAATCCTCAGAAACTGACACCGATGGTGACCTCTGGGGAGAGAACTGGGTGGTGAGAGGTGACCTACTTTTAATTTTCACTGTGAGCCCTTTTGTTTCTTTGGATTTGGTATTATGTGGTATCCCTGGGTTGGGAAGATCCCCCAGAGAAGGGAATGGCTACCCACCCCAGTATTCTTGCCTGGAGAATTCCATGGACAGAGGAGCCTGGTGGGCTACAGTCCATGGGGTCACAGAGTTGAATAGGACTGAGCGACTAACTTTCACTTCACAACTTGTTTTAAAATAATTTTTAAAGTCTCACCCATGCCTGAAGGCTGACTCAAAGGCTCCTGCCCTTAAGAAAATGCTTGGGGGACTTCACTGATGGTCCAGGGGTTAAGACTCCATACTTCCACTTCAGGAGGCACAGTTTCGATCCCTGGACTGGGAACTAAGATCCCGCATGCTGCGTGGAGTGACCAAAAAATAAAGAAAAGTGAAATAGAAAATGCCTGGCAAGTTCAGCTCTAGTTGGCACACACATGTGGCACCTGCCTTGAATGGAAAGGGTCTGCAGCTGGGCAGGAGACGACCTGTGATTCAAGCCGCCTGGGAGGAGCTCACACTGAGCAAGCAGAGACAGATAAGAGCAGAGGGCAGAGAGACAGTCAAGCCAGGCTGTTGTGAGGGTCCAGACAAGGAGACTGAGCTGTGTGTGTGCAGCTTCTGGGAGGGCTGCTTGGAGGAGGCAGTGCTAGGGCTGAGACATGAACTGAGTAAGAACCAGCCAGGTGGAGGGCGAGCATTCCAGACAGAAGTAGGGCAGAGTCAAGAGTGATCCAGAAAGAGCGAGCAGAGCACGCTCACAGAGCTTCAGCCCTCGCAGAACAGACACCTGTTACCATAGGTTACAGCCCGGCCTCTTCAGGGAGATGGGTTGTTGGTGTTTATTATCATCATTTTATCTCCATTTTACAGAAAACACACATGAGACTCGGGGCATTTAAAGAACTTGCCTGCGGTCACAACACACACCCTCTAAGAGAGGATTCAAACGCACACAGGCTTCAGACGACCCCAGAGCTTCCTGGGCAGCTGGGAACCAGTAAGTGATGTTGTTAGACTGAACACTTAAGAAGGGCTGCTGGCCTGAGAATGAAGCAGAGGAAGAGACTGGAAGCACCACTGATCGGAAACTACTGCCACAGCCCAGGTAGCGGCCTGAACTAGGACAGAGTCAGGGGGAGATGATCAGAATGAATTCGGGAATATTCAAGAGGGAGTCAGGTAGACTTAACCTTGTAAGTGCTGTCCTCCAGACAGGACCAGACCATGGCACCATGCAAGCAGGGCTGGGTCAGGAGTCCTGCTCCATTTCCCTGGAGCTTCCCTGCCTGGCAGAGAGTAGGCACTTACGAAGTAAATGGATTAAAACTGACTGTCCCATCCCACTGTTGTGTCTCCCACACCAGAGTATAATACCCATGCACACAGGGCATCTTATCACCTTGGCTTGTTTCTGGGGTCCTAGAACAGCACCTGGGACCACATCAAATACTGCACATGAATGCTCATTGGGCTGTCCACTCACAATCTGTCCACTGCAGACATCTCTATGGATGATGTAAAGCTCAAGCGGGCAATGATGAGGCAAGCAGTGCTCTTCACGTGGTCTCCACATGCAGACAGGGGCATCTCCCTGCTCTGCACCCTGACACCATCCTATAAGGGAGCAGGACTCATGGACATGCACACACACACGTACATACATACACATACATATGCATTACACACACATGCATATACATGTAGACACATATACACACAAACACGTATATGCACACAGACATACACAAGCACTACATATACACACATACACAAGCACATGCACACACACAAATACATATACACATACACATGTGCACACGTACACATATATACACATACACACGTGCATACATGCAGATGCACACATACACATATATACCCCGCAAATGCTCTTGGTCTGGTCCATGATGAGTAACTCTCATAGGAACATCCTTGGCCTGACTCTGGCTGAGGAAAGCACTTGCTTTGTAGGGTCCACCCAAGAAGGGTTAGCTGGGTGTTTGGTGAGTGTGTCTCACATAACAGGAAACTGCCAAACAGTCCTCCAACCTGGGAGCTGGCTGTCCTCTCCCCTTTGCTTTAAACTTGGTAATGAGATTCACCAGGGGCCATGCTGCCCCTCCAGCTCATAGACCCCCCGGGAGATTCTGGACCTGGCCCAGCGGCACTCAGGAAGCTACGCTGTAGATGCTGTGCCAGGCCAGCCTGATATTTGGGCAAGTTTTGGAAACAATGGTGGAGCTGGGGTTCTTCAATCTTAAGGGATTTAAAAAACACCTACTCTAGGACCCTACACCCACATATTCTGATTTAATCAGCCTCTGGAAAAGCTCCTTGAGGGGTTGCTGTCGGGGCAGGGGGGTGCAGCCCACTGGTTCAGGCAGAGTAGGAGTAACAAGCCGAGAGGTCGCCGGCCTGGGAGGGCCCAGGAGGTCTTGTGGCTGTATGAAAACACCCACCTGACCCAGCTCATGACTGACTCTGCTTTACTGCCTCTTGCAGTTCTGTGGGCTGACTAGGCCCAATGAGTGGCTCTGCTAGGTCTCACAAGAGCGCAGTGAGAAGGTGTCCAGACTGAGGCCTTCCCTGTCCTCCTCTGTCCTGTGGCCTCACCCCACAGCTCAGGTATCCCCAAAGTCTGGGAGGGAGGAGGCAGAACCAGCTGGCATCTCCCAGCCTGGCACCAGCTCCACCATCCGTAGTCAGTGCCACTGCCCAGCCCCAGCACCGCCCCGGGGCCTGCATCCCTGGGAGAGCTTCCCTGGGTCCCTGAGACTGGCTGCCACAAACAGTATCTGCTTCATAGGTTACTGTGAGGATGAAATATATTAATACACAGGACGTGCCTAGCTTGATACTTGTGACAGTAGTTGCTCAGAAGCTTTCTGCTTTTACTGTTGTGCCTAGAACCCCTGTACTGGGGTTGGCAAGCATTTTCTGTAGAGAGCCAGCTAGTAAATGTTTTAGGCTTTGCAGA